AAATTAATAAAGTGTAACTTATAGCGCCTTGAAAGTCATGGAGTCAAAATGACTTTTTTTGGCCCCCCTGTATATAAAAATTTCTGGACAGCACTTGAGAAATGAATCTAGAAAGTGAAGAAGTATAACCTTACGCTCATACTTGGTCCATGATTGGTGGTAGATGCACGATTTTCGGATTGCACAAGACTTTTCACAATGTTGCACAGTTCACTGGTAGTAGGCCGTACATCAGGATCTCGTTCGAAAACCACATCAACTATTTGATGCACAGAAGACGAACAGGTAGGCACAAGAACATCCGCATCATATGGCAGCCACTGCAATGGATAATTATTCGACGAATTGCTAATGAGTAATTCTTATTGTCAGTTGCCCAATACTCACATTGCCCCTGTCACCGGACGCTCTATCAAGTATCTCCTTTTGAATAGCCTCAACATGTCCAAAATATTCAAAGTGAGGCGGATATTTGGTTAGCATTTCGATAAGCGTACATCCTAGGGCCCTGCGAAATCTACTTGAGGACTATACCTGTTAGTAACATCAATTGCTACAAATAAGAACGTGGAACAGAAGCTAAGTGGGTTCTACAGTACTGACCACACATCAGCCGGTTTCCCGTACGCCTTTCGATTTCCGGGTCCAAGTTCGCTAGTCAAAACCTCTGGAGCAACGTAGAGGAGTGTGCCTGAAGTGGTTTCCGAAAAGTCCGAAACTGATGGGAACGGTACAGTGACAATTTTTCTTACCTCGGAAATCCAACGTGATGTCTGACGCAACTGCTATACCAAACCCATCTACGGCAAGATCTCTTACCAACCCGAAATTGGCCAATTTAATGCCATCACTGATCGTTATCAAAAGGTTAGCCGCTGAAATTCAAAAGCCATAAATGGAGGTTAGGTTCGGCACTGATTTGGGTAACCAAGGAGTGCAAACGGGCACCAAAGCAAAATCAACGAGAATCTGACAAGTAGAACCCTCATAGCGCACTCCGCACTCAGATGTTCTACAGTTGATAACGTCGCTACCAGACGGTGTGGTTCAGAGAGAGTCCATCTGTGGCGTTTGCACCAGTGTTGTGTATCGATCGGCGACCAATTACCATTGGCAGGGAAGGCACCCGAAGGCGGGCTGGCTCCGCCCTTCTTGCAACCGCCCCGACTGATTGTGGCTTTATCAGCCATATAATCATTTCCGATGACCTTATTAAAAATGGGTTGAGAGTGCCATTTCATCCGCAATCCTCGAAAGATTAGTTCATGATTAAGGAAGTTATTAAGGAAGATTTGGAAGTTGGCACGATAAATCCTCCAAGACGAGCAGGATAATACGCCTGGCAGGACGGAATTCGCGACCCTGAGCAGGCGCTGCATAATGCCTTTTCCAAGGAAGGTGCCCTTATAAGGGCCCTATCAAGCCACAACTTTACGTCCCAAACGCCCGCCACGCCCCCGCCCACAAATGGACGACTGTTCCTGACGCTCTAATTGATTCATTTGCTAAGCAAATTATGAAGCGAAGGGATTGGTATGAAGCGGCCGTGATGCTGCATGGATATATGAGTACACATATGCAGCCGTACCTTCGGTAGCGGTTATTGGCAAGATGCCTACGGGAAACTCGTCCAAAATTGATTACTAACACAGTGAGAACGGAGGCTCTTTTTTCGCAGGATTTTGACCGTTTCACTCCGTTCTTTCGCCATTTCCCCACTATATAGCGCCCTACTAGCATTTTAGGCCGAGCACCAAATCATCGTGCCAACTGCCTTTAAGGGCTTCGGCGGGAGCTACTGTTGTACCTGGTGACAATATGGAAAAAAACTCAAATGACTAGCAAATATAAAAAAATAGAAACCTTTGATATCTCTGTGAACCACGGGCGGATCGAGATTATGAAGATAATCCAGCGCTTTGAGAGTCTGAAAGGTTTCTATAAATATAATAGATGCACAAAGCCACGCCCACAGCGTGTAGTCGTGATCCCTGCAAACGATAGGACGTGTTACAAGGCGCGGGTTGGAGAGCAGAGAGGGCGGCCTCTTCCACTAATGCTGCTACCCTCAGCTCGCTACAATTGGTGGGACAAGCTACCATGGTTGCGTCCAAATGTACGCCCCGTCATAGGCCCTAACGTTTGTTGAGATAATGACTGTATGTTGTAGGGACATGAACCGACGGCTACTACACAATAACGAGCAGGTACATTGTATAAAAACACATTTGCTATCTGGTAGGAAGAGTCCTTCCCATGTGGGGGAAGACTAGCTGCGCAGTTCCACAGAGTATGCCACTTCAGGACACCAAAGTGCGTGACAAGGGTGCTAAGAGTTTGCGACTGCCGATATCTCCTCCCATCCCACTCCGCCCATACCAGGAATGCAAGCTCATAAATTTATGAAGACTGCATGTTACTGCGGTTGGTATGTTCAGACCCTTTGTGTCTAAGGTAGTGCGCTCTCGTCTGCGATTGTCCCGCGCCTTCAATGTTTGGTTGTCAGAAGCTCCCTTCGTCGGCTCGTCCTCTCAAAATCAACGCCAAAGCGCCCAAGCTAAAAGTTTTCTGATTTCCTTGTACTTATTGGGTTTTCTCCAAAAATAAACAATTTTTCAGTGGCAGTATGATTACGCTTCATCCCTGTGTTACAGCAGGGAAAATACATGGTGAAGCACCACGTTGAGGGAATCCAGGAAGATCGCACTTTGGGAGGGGGGAGGATCGTAGATGATTTCGAGAAAAATCTCAACGAGATGCTAAAACCTTTCCTTCCCCTCCCCCTTTGGGGCTCCGTAGAACCGCCGAATCCTTTTACATATTAGGTTGGTCGAAAAGTCCTGCGA